AACTGTCATTAACATATTAAATGAGCTATGGTAATTCAGACACGTGGGCACCATCCAGCATTTTGATTGGTTAATTAGCGACTTGACCTATCCGGTTAATAAACAAGTCTCGTGTGCATTCAAAGACATGGCGGATATCGTTTCGTATCGGCCGTTTACATGTGACTGAAATCATTCGCTTACGGTGAAACTAAGTTGAATTTTACTTGCATTTCATAAAATTTCAACGGATTTATTTTTCGTGCGTTACTATAATCACCACTGAATAATAATCACCAATTTCAACACTTTGAAAACAAGTAAGTTTGACTGGCGCCTAATTGGTGTGAAAATTATCACCTTTTCTATTGTACTGGCGCCTAATCTAGGGTGGCGCTTATATGAGGTATTATACGGTAGTCTCTGTGCATTTAAAGAAGAAAAGGGGATTAAAGAATTGGAACGTTCTGTCTTGGTAGTTTGGTACACGTTTGCCTTAAATTGGTTGTGTTTTGTTTTTTTCCAGTTCCCGGAGGTACAGAAGGACCAAGTGGTGTTCTGATCTGCTCTGAAAATTACATCACTTATAAAAATTTTGGAGATCAACCAGATATCAGGATGCCAATTCCAAGGAGAAGAGTAAGACTTGATTACATTTTAGTTTTCATATTACTTTAAATGCAATGCACTCAATAATGCCATCCACTCATTTTGTGTAATAACCTTTAGGCAGGTTTTCCTGTTGAGTGGAAATATGTGTGTACTGTTCATGTTCATTACATGTGCATTGCCCTGTATTTTGCCTTGTGTGCTGCAAAAATGTTTTTTAAAAAAAGGTTACATCAAGCAGAAATTGCTAAAAGTTAACATAATTATTGACTTTTTCAGCCATAAATATTAAGTTTTATTAATTTCTTGTGATTAGCGCTGCTAGGTGATGATAGTTTTTGTAAAAGAAATTGGTGACAATTGTTGGAATAAAGCAGAAATACCAAGCAGTAACAAAGCAACAGATCCTCTATAGATGTCAATCACATTTATTTAATCCCTTTATTTTTATGGAGGTACAAAGTCATGTCAAAATGATCATATTTATGGTGACATAATTATTTAGATGGAAATAAAACTCAGAACACTACTGTTTGGACCATGTGTTGTCAGCGAGGCTAGCGTCACCTCTTGTTGTCAGCGAGGCTAGCGTCACCACTCGCTGTGTTCAAATCATACAATGTGTAAGGTGATTCATTTCAAAATAGTATTTAACCCGTACAGCCACCCCCACCCCGACCCAACCCCCACTATCACCAGTTTTCCTTTTTGCCTTGGATGGCAGATAACGTTGAATACTAAGAGATGCATTCTTGTTTGTTTTAAAGAATGATCTTGATGATCCTGAACGTGGCATGATATTTGTATGCAGTGCTGCTCACAAGACCAAGGTAAGTTGTGTAATCCTTGGTAAATAGATGTAGTAAACTCAACATGATATTTGTATTTAATACATTTCCTACTGTCATCTTTATATACCATTCATATCTGCTTCTGTGCTGGCTTTCAGCTGGCAACGTGTTAAACTAAAGTTAAAACAAAATTCCTTAGATCGGGGTGATTATCACAACTGTTGTCAACTAAAGCCCCCAATATAAAGTTTTGCTATTTGTCAATGTGCCTCGCACACTTTTTTTCTGCAATTTTTGGTGTCAGTAAAGTGTACCACATTTTTGTAGGATGTTTTATTTGCTCCAAATCAACCTTTAATGCATTTATTCAAAAGCATTATTAAGTAAATGGTAATTTAAACAAGTCACGTGTTAACACATTTTCTTTTGCAGTCCATGTTTTTTTTCCTGGCACAAACAGAACAAGGTGATATTTTCAAGATCACCCTGGAAACAGACGAAGATATGGTAACTGAAATACGTATGAAGTACTTTGATACTGTGCCAGTAGCAAATACTCTGTCAGTCTTGAAAACTGGATTTCTATTTCTGGCTGCAGAGTTTGGAAACCAGTAAGTAAATGTGTATTTGTGTGATCATCCATTAATGAAATGTTATATAGTTATGTCTTTACCTGTGAGTGTTGCCATAAATTTTGCTTACAGAACCCTTAATTTTACTGAGGGTGGAGGCTTTTGTGATAAAGTCGCACGGAATAAATTTTCATTGAGTCTCTCAATTTTCCCCTCCCTCGAGAAAATGCAGTTGAATGAACTTTTAATCATTGAAAAAATATCCCCAGAAAATACCAGAATGTGACTTTGAGGTGCCTCTTTCTTGGCACTTGGGAGATTCTGGCTTTGCTGCTGCAAACAATGGTCTTGTGTTTAGTTGGTGCGTGGACATTTTTTGAATCTCACAGTCTCATCTTATCCTGCTTTTCTTTCTTTATAGTTTTCTGTATCAGATCGCCCATTTAGGTGACGATGACGAAGAGCCTGAATTCAGTAGTGCCATGCCGCTGGAGGAAGGCGACACATTTTTTTTCGCACCACGAACTCTGAAAAATCTTGTCTTAGTAGATGAAATGGAAAGTTTATCCCCGATTTTGTCTTGTCAAGTGAGTATCCAATTATTGTTTTAAAATTTGTGTATCAGTGCCACTAA